CAGAGCGATAGGGCAGTGGGGAGGGCGCCAGCCTTGCACATGGCTGACCCGGATTCGATCCCTGGCACCCCATGTCACCCCATGAGCACTGCCGGGAGTGATTCCTGAGTGCGGAGTGGGGAGCAACCCCTGAGCACTGCCTGGTGTGGCCCCCAAGTGAGAGAGAGATACAGACACCGACATATGCTACAAAGCAGTCACACAAGTTGACAACAGTGAACAGAAAATAAGATTAGACAAGCGAGCAGACAGGAAAGACAGGAAGGCAGGAAACAACCACAGGAACAGCGACGAAGTAGGAAGGGCACGGGAGCGACAGACACCATCAGGGCAGGAGAAGACAGGAAGGTGGAAAATGACCGGAAGGAGCGAGGGCACAGAGAAAGGGACACAGAGGAAGGCAGGGCCGACCCCGGGGGACAGTCGGGTGCCCCAGCCCTGCAGCCACCACTCCTGAGAAGCGAGACTCGAGTCTGCATGTGAAGAAGCTCCCCAGGCCCAAGAACATCGGGGACCTGAGCCAGAGGACAGCGGGGAGGACGTTTTGTCATGCACAGGGCTGGCCTGGGTTCAATCCCGGGCTTCCCATATCATCTTCCCAGAGCTCTGCCAGGAGTGATCCCTGAGCACTGAGCCACGAGTAAGCCCTGTGCAGTGCCAAGTGTCACCCCCAGAACTAAAACAAGAAAAACAAAGGAGGGGCTATGGTGATAGCGGGCTGGAGCCATAGCACAGCGGTAGGGCATTTGCCTTGCATGCAGCCGGCCCGGCTGAGCCGGGTTTGATTCCTCCGCCCCTCTTGGAGAGCCCAGCAAGCTACTGAGAGTATCTCGCCCACACAACAAAGCTTGGCAAGCTACCCCTGACGTATTCGATATGCCAAACACAGTCTCATGATGGAGACGTTACTGGGCCCGCTCAAGCAAATCAATGAACAATGGGAGGACAGTGCTACAGTGCTATGGTGATAGCATAGCGAGTAGGGCGTTTGCCTTGCATGCAGCCGACCCGGGTTCGATTCCCAGCATCCCATATGGTCCCCTGAGCACCGCCAGGAGTAATTCCTGAGTGCAGAGCCAGGAGTAACCCCTGTGCATCGTCGGGTGTGACCAAAAAAGCAAAAGATAAAAAAAAAAAAAGAAAAGAAAATCACTGGGAAACAGAAAAACGCCCAGTGGTTCTCCTTCGGAGCAGGAGCGAGCACTGTGTGGGAGGCAAACGAGGTGGTGCCCACTTTCCCCAGCTGGGCTCTGCCTGGGGTTGGGGCCAGGGAGAACATCTCAGCATCAGGGTCAGATGCTTAAGAACTGGGCGGGTCCCAGGGTCCGATCTCCAATCACTCGAATCCCCAAGCCAGAGATGGATGGCAGAGAAGGCACCGGGAACCAAGAAGGGGCGTTTCCCCAAGCTTTCCTGAGAAATCGCTGTACAACAAGCTCTGGTCAGCACCAGAGGACGGCGGGACACTGGGTCCAGTCTCCTGGTGTCCACAGGTTCCCGTCAGCTGTGAGGAGACGCTGCACACGGGGTCGCATGCTCTGTTTGTGTGTAAAGGCAGGCATTGGCAGAAGGCGGGGGCGTCTGAAAAGCTGTGGATGCCACAGGGAGCACAAAGTGTGAGTTCACAAAACTTCACAGGTGTGTTCGCCTCTCCAGGCCTCCCCAGCAGAGGGACAAAGAGACAGGGGACTTCAGGCTGATGGGGAAACGGCCCGTTGAACGCGGAGCTGTTAGCGTTCTTACCGCACACCAGGGGGGTCAAGGCCAAGGCGTAGGACTGCAGACAGCTATGGTTGATCATTCACAAGGTAAAGAATTCGGCGGAGACAATTCTCTTGGGGGATGAACTCAAGGAGACGCTCTGTCTCCCAGGGACATCTATGTTGCTTTTCTCTTTCCTTTCGGTTATACATATTAAACAATTAAGTCTACTTCTTGTTAATACTTGCAGCTAGTTGGATAAACACAGTAAGAGATTTTCATTCCAAAACTTAGTTCTCTGGACTCTGAGTGCAAGCAAGACTTTTACCGTAAATCCCAGACTAGTTAGTCCTCAGGCCCGTCCAGCTTGTCCTTCCCCATGGGGATCTGTGCCGTAAATCATAACAGCTTGCATCAGGACCACACATGTATGCTTTGAAGACGGTCTCATTTCGATGCCAGGGTAGCTTTGCCATTCACCCCGGGTTCATCCCTGTCCCCTGGCGGGACCATCTGTTTGGGGTGTTAGGAACTACAGCAACTGAAGCCCGAGTTAAGTAATTAGGACAGATGCCCAGGAGTAGATGAGTCAATCAACTCTCAAATATTAGGAGCACAGCATTAACGGTCTTTCTGTGTTTAAGCAAAAAAACACTGTTCTATGGTAAAATATAAAAAGGCGATAGGGGAAACAGAAAAGCAAGTAATTCACCACAAATACACAGTCCAGAATTATTAGAAAGTTTTGGCTTATACGTAACCAACCGTGACTTGGGGAATTGTGACAATGAGAGGTAAAACACAAAGGAAAGGTTAAAGAGATAGTCAGGGGGTTAGGGGTGCTCGCAAGAGCACTGTAAGCTTCTCTGGGAGGAGGAAAAGAGGCAATTCACTGATGAAGCCTAAAGCACTTAGGGCTAATATCCAACAAGTGGGAACTTCTTTTTTTAGTGGGTGTGGCGGGGGGGGGAGCACCTAGCAATGCTTAGGGCTTATTTGTGGATTTGAACTCAGGAATCACTCCTGACAGTGCTCAGGGACTGCATGGGATGCCGGGGATTGAACTGGGGTCAGTCACATGCAAGGCCAGTGCCCTCCCCGCTGTGCTGTCACTTCGGCCCCTACACTGGGGATTTCTCAGGAGGCTTCTCAGAGGCGAGGGGAAGAAAGTCAATAAAAACCAACCTCGGTGCTCCTCAGAGCAGGAACCAGCAGCATCAGAGCAGGGAAATCACTGGCCCTCTTGTATAAAGGGCTGGATTTACCGGTTATCGTCAGGATAAGATCGACAGCCCCCTCCCAACACACACACACACACACACACACACACACACACACACACGTGAACACACCCTCTCTCGCAGGATCCTGCAGGCCCAGCATGTCTCTTCTGTCTTTCAGTCTTTGACTGGCCAACTCCTTCAGGCAGCCTTCTTTGATTGCCCCAGTGCACGTCAAGTTTCACCCTCATTTACCACTGCTTGGTACCAGATCTCTAATTCTCCAAGTCGTCCATCCTGGGGCGGAGACGAATGATCTACCTAAGTTGTTCAGCGCTTCATTCTGGGTGTGGCATATGGGAAGCCTCAGCTGACACAGCTTCTTCCGTAATTCAGGGTTCGTCGAATGATTTGGGTTGTGTGTGTGTGTGTGTGAGAGAGAGAGAGAGAGTATGTGTGTGTGTGAGAGAGAGAGAGTATGTGTGTGTGTGAGTGTGTGTGTGTGTGTGCGTGTTTCCTAAGAGCTTGGTGCTCCTATTAATGAGAATTTTTTAAAAAATTTTTATTAGTGAAAACCATGTAGTACAGTTGTGGACTTACAGATTTTTGTGCTTTGGTTTCAGTTATACAATGATCAAGTACCCATCCCTCCACCAGTGCCCATTCTCCACCACCACTGATCCCAGTATCCCTCCCACCTCCCCAACCCCCCCACCTCTGTGGCAGGGCATTCCCTTTTGTTCTCGCTCTCCTTTTGGGTGCTGTGGTTTGCAAAAGAGGCACTGAGTGGCAATCGTGTTCGGTCTATAGTCTACTTTCAGCATGTTTCTCCCATCCTGGGAGGATCCTCCTAACACCCTTTATTTGGTGCTCCCTTCCCGATCTGAGCTGCCTTAATGAGAGTTCTTATGGTTCGAAGGGACAGCAACCCCATGCGAATTACAAAGATGAACGTGAAATGTTCCCAGGTAGGGCTGGTTTCAGGCGAGGCTGGATCCAGGGGCCCCTCAAATCACCACTCTCAGCCTTTGCTCGCCAGTGCTCTCCCTTCCAGCATGCCGGCACCTCCGTGGTCACAAACTCAAGGTCTCCACGAGAAAAGGCCACGTCCCAGCACCAGGCTCCCCCAGCAGTCCCAGGAAGAGGCTCCTTGGCTGTGCTCACTGTCGCGTGCTCTCACCGGGGCGGGGAGAAATGCCAGCGCGGGGCACCGGGGCAGCATGAGGCTGCACCGAGACTCTCACGGGAGAATGGTCATGCTGCTGCCTGAGCAGGGTGGGTGGAGGCTTGTGGGGGTCAGGGGGCAGCAGCGACGGAAGCCCCGAGTGTGGGCGTGCTCGGCGAGCGGCTGTGGGCGCTGTCCCCAGCCAACCCGGGAAAACGGCTTCGGTGTCTTTGGGCCCGTAGGTTGCTTATTTGCCATGCGGTGGCAGGAGGCGGGGTGGGGGGGCTTTCCATGGAGCCGAGAAATGAGGGGGGGGCCGGTAACCCTCACATCGGGGGCGTCTGCATGTGCCCGGCCTGCGCCCGAGAGCAGGGCACTTTTAGAGGCTGTCATTCATTCTCCAGGGACTCGGGTGCACCAGTGCTCAGCTGTGTGGCACCGAGGAAGTTACTCGCCCTCTCTATTCCTCCACCGTCGAGGGGGCTTGAGCCCCTGCCTCCCCCTCCCTGGGGTCAGGGAAGCAGGACAGGCAGAGGCTGTTGCTGGCCCCAGGAGGGACACGGGTGCCTCGTTTGGGTGCTGTCTGGGCAAGTGGAGGGTCCCCCGTCCCGCCACAGCCCCAGAGACACGTAATGCCCCCCTGTGCCGCTGAGGTTCCTGCCAAGGCTCAGAGAGGCTGAGTCACGTTTCCAGGGCTGCACAGGAGGCCGAGAGCTTTCCTGTTCTCACTGCGCTGTGGCCCTCCCCGGGAGGCACGGCCCTCACCAGGCCCACGTGGGTCCCTCCCCCCCACGCCCCGGACCCTCAGGCGTGGTGACACTGGCCGACCGTGCTGTCCGCCCTCGGTCTGGTCTCGGGGAGGCTGAGTGCCCGAGCACAGGGTCCCGCCGCGCCCTGACCTCTCTGTCCCGCAGGTGTGGGTGGACGCCGGCACGCAGATCTTCTTCTCCTACGCCATCTGCCTGGGCTGTCTGACGGCGCTGGGGAGTTACAACAACTACAACAACAACTGCTACAGGTCTGCTCCCCGCGTGCTGGCCAGGGCCCCGGGTCGCACTTTGCCCCCCCAGCCAGGCTGGCCTCGTGTGCCCACCTGCGGGGACTGCCCAGCACCTGCTCCGCCCGCCCCGCCATGCCCATCCCTGGGGGATGTGCCCCAATGTGCCCAGCTCACGCAGCTGGAGGTAGCCCGTCAGGCCCTGGCCAGGGGCCTCTCCTGCCCCCCCAGAGCCCTGGTGGCCGACTGCCCTCGCAGCCCGCATCCACTTTTCGAGGGGCAGATCGGAGGGGAGCACTGGGCGAGGAAGGGAGCACCAGGCTGGGAGGGAGCACTGGGCCAGGGGTGCATTAGGCCGAGAGGAGATTACTGGGCTAGGGATCAGTACTGAGCTGGGACAGGAGCATGAGGTCAGGAGGGGAGCATTGAGCCGAGGAGGGGAGCACTAGGCCCAGGAAGGGAGCACTAAGCCCAGGAGGGGAGCACTAAACCCATGAGGGAAGAACTAGGTCCAGGAGCAGAGCACTAGGCCCAGGCGGGGAGTACTAGGCCCAGGAGGGGAGCATTAGGCCCAGGAGGGGAGCACTAGACTGAGGCAGGGAGCACTAGGCCCAGGAGGGAGCAGTAGGCTAGGGGCTGAGCACTAGGTGGGGGAGCACTAGGACAAGAGGGGAGCACTTGGGTGTGGGTCAACGCTGGGTGGACCGCTGCTGCCCACAGCCTGGGCCTGCAGAGGGCCATGGCCCACATCACCAGCAGTGCCGTTTGCACCCTGCTCTTCCTCCTTGCACCCTGGCTCTGTGCCTGCCCCAGGGCTAGGGGCCAGCGCAGCCCCCAGGCCTGAGAGCCCCTCCCGGGCCAGGGTGCCTGGTGGGGGAGGAAGCGCTTTGGTGTGTCGGAGGGGCGAGAGTTTGGTCCATGAGCCAGGAACAGACACCGCCACTTCCTGGGACAGGGCCCGACAGTGCTCGGGCCTTTGCGGTTCAGAAAAGGGAAAAGGGGGAGACCTAGTGAGTCCGGCAGAGGGGACGCCGCCGCCGCCTTCTAGTGCATCCAGTGAAAGAGTCTGTGTGCCCACAGGAAGGCAGGTCCCTGGTCAGGGGCGGGGACCAGCTGCCACCCCTCTGTGCTCCCTCAGAGAAGGCTGGAGGCGCTGTGTGACCTCTGGCCAGACGCCTGACCTCTCTGAACCTCAAGGCTTTACCCACACAGGCCCCCTGTCTGTGCCTGCCCTGTCTCACTGGCTCCCCAGGACCCCTCTCTGCCCCCACCCCTCGCCGTGCCATGCCCCCACACCGACCCTGCCCCTATCTGCAGCCCCCTCAAACACCCACCCCCTGATGGCTCCTCCCCCTCAGTGTCCCGCCCCTTATGGCCCTGCCCTGCGCTCACGCTTGCCCCGCCCCCTTGGTCCCGCCCCCGGCCCCCAAGCCCGCCCTGCCCCTCATGGCCCCGCCAACACGCCCACCCCAAATGGCCTGCCCCTCAGGCGCTGCCCCTGGCCCCGCCCCTCCTCTCAGGCCCCGCCCCATCCCCGCCCTCACGCCCGCCCCGCCCCTCACGGCCCTGCCCTTTAGGCTCCGCCCCTCAGGACTTGCCCCATCCCCGCCCTCACGCCCGCCCCGCCCCTCAGGCCCCTCCCCGGCCCCGCCCTCAGGCCTGCCCCGCCCCTCACGGCCCTACCCCTCAGGCTCCGCCCCTCAGGACCCGCCCCAGCCCTACCCTCAGGCCCTCCCTGTCCCTGCTCCTCAGGCTCTGCCCCCTGGCCCCGCCCCGCCCCTCAGGCTCCGCCCCTCAGGACCCGCCCCAGCCCTCCCTCACGCCCTCCCTGCCCCTGCTCCTCAGGCTCTGCCCCCTGGCCCCGCCCCGCCCCTCAGGCCCCGCCCTCTCGCCCGCCCCGCCCCTCAGGCCCCGCCCCGCCCTCAGGCCCCGCCCCGCCCCAGCCTCACGCCCGCCCCGCCCCTCAGGCCCCGCCCTCTCGCCCGCCCCGCCCCTCACGGCCCTGCCCCTCAGGCTCCGCCCCTCAGGACCCGCCCCAGCCCTCCCTCACGCCCTCCCTGCCCTGCTCCTCAGGCTCTGCCCCCTGGCCCCGCCCCGCCCCTCAGGCTCCGCCCCTCAGGACCCGCCCCAGCCCTCCCTCATGCCCTCCCTGCCCTGCTCCTCAGGCTCTGCCCCCTGGCCCCGCCCCGCCCCTCAGGCCCCGCCCCGCCCCTTCGGCCCCGCCCCAGCCTCACGCGCCCCGCCCCGCCCCGCCCCGCAGGGACTGCATCATGCTCTGCTGTCTGAACAGCGGCACCAGCTTCGTGGCCGGCTTCGCCATCTTCTCGGTCCTGGGCTTCATGGCGTACGAGCAGGGGGTGCCCATCGCGGAGGTGGCCGAGTCGGGTACGTGCGCCGGGGCCGGCGGTCCCCGAGCCAGGGGACGTGCTCATGCCCTCTTCCCGCGGGGGCCCACCCAAAGGGGCTTTGACGCCTCCCACCCCAGTGCCCGGACCACACCCTGCTCACCAGGAACCGCCAAACACCCTCCCTGCCCCCTCAGCCCGCCCCCTCATTCCTGCTGCCCCGCCCTCTCACCCCCACCCCTTCGCCCCGCCCCCTCCCTGCCCCCTCACTCCTGCCCCCTCACCCCTGTTTCGCAGTCCCCAGCCCCTTCTCTCCCCGGAAGGGAAGCCCTTGGTCGCTTCGTGCCAGGCTGACCCACGGAGAGACTGGGCCGCCTCTAACGGGGAGACATAAAACGGGCTCAGGGCTGACGCTGCGCCCCCCAAGTAACACCCGGGGAATGGGCGGGCAGGAGGCAGGAACTGCCGCAGCTGCTCTGGGACCCTCCAGTTTCTTGAAAAGGTCAAAGAACAAAACCACAGGTCCTGGCAGCTGCCCTGGGCTAGTACGTGGCCAAGTGAGGCCAACGCTCACCCATTGCTGCCTAGACGCTGGCCTCTGTGTGTGTGTGTGTATGTGCATGTATTTGCATGTATTGTGTGTACGTGTGTGTGTGCATGCGTGCATGTGTGTGAGCGTGTGTTTGCATGCATTAGGCATTATGGCCTCCCAGCAGGTCAGTGCAGAAGGCTGAATGTCAGAGCAACCGGGTCTGGCTCCCCGGGACCCCACTGTCCCACTCTCTCACCTGCCAGGCGTCTCTGTGTGCCCCCCGCCCAGGGCTGCCGGGAGGGGCAGAGGTCGGGGCCCAGGGACGCCCACACCCCCCTCCCTGCTCCCTGTCCAGGCCCCGGCCTGGCCTTCATCGCCTACCCCAAGGCCGTGACCATGATGCCGCTGTCCCCGCTGTGGGCGACCCTCTTCTTCATGATGCTCATCTTCCTGGGCCTGGACAGCCAGGTATGCCCTCCGCTGGCCTCTTCGTCAGCCCCCAGATGCGCCCGGCGCCCCCCAGGCCTTCCCAGGCCCCGTTTGGTGCCCACGGTCCCCAGTTGTCCTGTGCCCCGCCCTATCCGCAGTTCGTGTGTGTGGAGAGCCTGGTGACGGCCGTGGTGGACATGTACCCCGAGGTTTTCCGCAGGGGCTACCGGCGGGAGCTGCTCATCCTGGCCCTGTCCGTGGTGTCCTACTTCCTGGGCCTCGTCATGCTGACGGAGGTGAGCGCGGAGGACGGGGTCTGGCGGGGGGGTGCCCTGCAGCCCTTGGGTACACGGGGCTCACTGACAGGCCCCCCCTGGGTGGAGGGTAGTGTCAGCAGACAAGCGAGTCAGGACAGCCGCGCCGGGTCCCCCTCGGAGTCTGATGTCTCCCACTGGGCCCCTCATCCTCCCAGTGGCCCGCTGTGCTCCCTGCCGGGTGGGGGAGGAAGGGGCCGCCTTCTGTGACCCCCAACTGAGGAACTGCACCCAGTCCTGAAGGGGCTCAGAATCGGGGCGAGCAGCACCCGGGTTCCGGCTGCCTCCACTCCCCAGATCCATTCCGCATGAAAAATAAGCCGGTGGCCCAGAGAAACGAGAGGAAGGGAGCTGAGCAGGGAGCCGGGGCTCTGGCTCGGACCCTCATCGGCACACCTCCTCCAGGAAGTTGCCTCTGCTTCCGGCCAGGCACAGGTGGGACCCTGGGGGCCACAGGTGGGCACTGCTGGAATGAGGTGCGTCCCCAGATGAGCCTCAGTGCTGACCCATCACGCCTAGCAGGGGCCTTTGTCAAGCGACGGGGTAGGGCTGCAGGGAGCCCCAGGCACCTCCATGCCCACCTTGCTTGGTGCCCACCGGCCCCCAGCAGAGACATGGCCGCCTCGTGGCCCCCAGGAACCTATCAGGGCACCAGTGTTCGCCACCACCTCCATGGAGCTCTGTCTGGGAGCAGATTGACCCTGGCCAGGCTGCAGGGCTGTCCCCAGCAGGCGTCTTTAAAGAGGCCACCTCTTCCAGGGGGCCCTCTCGGATAGCCTTCTTCTTTCTTAGCACTCCACTACAGATTTTGGGGACTCAATTTTTCCTAATTCAAAAGTCCCTGTGCCCCCTTACTGCTCTGACCGCTTGGAGCCCCCACTCTAGCTGACAGGCCTCCAGGGTCTGGCTGATCCTGGGAACACTCAGGTACAGACCACAGCCGCAAGAACTGAGGCCCAAGGCTGGGGGACACACTCCAGTGTGTGGGCCGGGGGCCCCCGGGGCCACAGCATTCCCAAGACCCTCCCCGTGATGCCCCTCTGTGACCCCCCAACCACACTCAGGGACCCCTGTCCCTCCCTCCCCCGTGACCACACTCAGGGTCCCGACACCCTCACACCGTCACTCACCTCAGCCCACCAGGAAGTGGGTCTCGGGCCAGGAGAAGCCAACGGGTGGGCAGGGGCATTGCCGGTCCTGGCGTGTCGAGGAGGCCGGGACGCTGCTGGCAGAGCTGCTGGGCTGCCCCGGGCCGTGATGTGCTGTGCCCTCTGGACTTGGGGAGCCGGGGATGGACAGTGTCCTGACCCCCAGCCTGGAGGTCATGCTAGGGGGTTGTCCAGAGGACGAAAAGTGGGAAGGCCGAGCTCCCGGGCTCCTGCCCATCGGCCCCCATACAGGGCTCTGTGTCCATCCCTGGCCCTGTCCAGGGCAGCGCGTCCATCTCCCGGCCCCCTCCAGGGTGGCGTGTACATCTCCCGCCGCCGTCCAGGGCGGCATGTACATCTTCCAGCTCTTTGACTCGTACGCGGCCAGCGGAATGTGCCTCCTATTCGTGGCCATCTTCGAGTGCGTCTGCATCGGCTGGGTGTACGGTGAGTGCTCAGCGGGCCGCCTCCCACCCTGCCTTGAAGGGCCAAGAAAGGTTCGCACACTCAGCCAAACTCGCCCACACTCAGCCACATGCAGCTACACTTGCCCACTCTCAGCCACCATCAACAACATACAACCACACTCACCCATAATCACCACACTCAGCTAGCCACATGCAGCCACACTCAACCACACTTGCCCACACTCACCCACATTCAGCCACACTCGCCCACACTCTGCCACACTCACCCACACTCGCCCACACTTATCCACACTCGTCCACACTCAGTCGCATTCACCCACACTCAGCCACACTCGCCCACACTCTGACACACTCAGTCACACTCGCCCACACTCAGTCACACTCGCCCACACTCAGTCTCACACTCGCCCACACTCAGCCACACTCGCCCACACTGAGCCACAATCGCCCACACTCAGCCACACTCGCCCACACTCAGACACACTCAGTCACACTCGCCCACACTCAGACACGCTCGCCCACACTCGCCCACACTCAGACAAACTCACCCACACTCAGACACACTCGCCCACACTCTGACACACTCAGTCATACTAGCCCACACTCAGTCACACTCGCCCACACTCAGGCACACTCACCCACACTCAGTAACACTCGCCCACACTCAGCCACACTCGACCACACTCAGTCACACTCGCACACTCAGCCACACTCGCCCATACTCTTCCACACTCGCCAACAGTCGCACACACTCAGCAACAGTCAGTCACACTCGCCAACACTCAGACACACTCGCCCACACTCAGACACACTCGCCCACACTCAGCCACACTCTTCCACACTCTGCCACACTCGCACACACTCGCACACACTCAGCCACACTGGTCAACACTCAGACACACTCAGTCACACTTGCACACACTCAGACACACTCGCCCACACTCAGACACACTCATCCACACTCAGACACACTGGCCACACTCAGTCACATTCGTCCACACTCAGACACACTCAGTCACACTCGCCCACACTCAGCCACACTCGCCCACACTCAGTCACGCTCTCGCACACTGAGTCACGCTTGTCCACACTCAGCCACACTGGCCCACACTCAGTCACACTCGCCCACACTCAAACACTCAGTCACAATCACCCACACACAATCACACTCGCCCACACTCAGCCACACTGGCCCACACTCAGTCACACTCGCCCACACTGAGCCACACTCAGACACACTCAGCCACACTCGCCCACACTCAGCCACGCTCTCCCACTTTCAGTCACGCTCGTCCACACTCAGCCACACTCGCCCACACTCAGTCACACTCGCCCACACTCAGTCACACTCGCCCACTCAGACACACTCAGTCACACTCGCCCACACTCAGTCACAATCACCCACACTCAATCACACTCGCCCACACTCAGCCACACTGGCCCACACTCAGTCACACTCAGCCACACTCTGCCACACTCGCCCACTCTCAGCCACACTCGCCCACACTCAGTCACACTCGCCCATACTCAGCCACACTCGCCAACACTCAGGCACACTCGCCCACACTCAGGCACACTCACCCACACAGCCACACTCGCCCACACTCAGGCACACGCACCCACACTCAGCCACACTCGCCCACACTCAGCCACACTCGCCCACACTCTTCCACACTCGCCCACACTCTGCCACACTCAGACACACTCAGCCACACTCGCCAACACTCAGACACACTCAGTCACACTTGCCCACACTCAGACACACTCAGTCACACTCGGCCCACACTCAGCCACACTCGTCCACACTCAGCCACACACGCCCACACTCAGCCACACTCGCCCACACTCAGACACACTCAGTCACACTCGCCCAAACTCAGTCACAATCACCCACACTCAATCACACTCAGCCACACTCGCCCACACTCAGCCACACTCGCCCACACTCAGCCACACTCGCCCACACTCTGCCACACTCAGACACACTCAGACACACTCGCCCACACTCAGTCACACTCGCCCACACTCAAACACACTCAGTCACACTCGCCCACACTCAATCACACTTGCCCACACTCAGCCACACTCGTCCACACTCAGCCAAACTCGCCCACTCTGCCACACTCAGACACACTCAGCCACACTCGCCCACACTCAGACACACTCAGTCACACTTGCCCACACAGACACACTCAGTCACACTCGGCCCACACTCAGCCACACTCTGCCACACTCGCCCACACTCTGCCACACTCAGCCACACTCGCCAACACTCAGACACACTCAGTCACACTTGCCCACACTCAGACACACTCAGTCACACTCATCCACACTCAGCCACACTGGCCCACACTCAGCCACACTCGCCCACACTCTTCCACACTCGCACACACTCAGCCACACTCGCCAACACTCAGACACGCTCGCCCACACTCGCCCACACTCAGCAACACTCGCCCACACTCAGCAACACTCGCCCACACTCTGACACACTCAGTCACACTCGCCCACACTCAGTCACACTCTCCCACACTCAGTCACGCTCGTCCACACTAAGCCACACTCGCCCACACTCAGTCACGCTCTCCCACACTCAGTCACGGTCGTCCACACTCAGCCACACTCGCCAACACTCAGACACACTCAGTCACACTTGCCCACACTCAGACACACTCAGACACACTCAGTCACACTCGTCCACATTCAGACACACTGGCCCACACTCAGTCACACTCGCCAACACTCAGACACACTCAGTCACACTTGCCCACACTCAGACACACTCAGTCACACTCATCCACACTCAGCCACACTCAGACACACTCAGTCACACTCGTCCACATTCAGACACACTGGCCCACACTCAGTCACACTCGCCAACACTCAGGCACACTCGCCCACACTCAGTCACACTCTCCCACACTCAGACACACTCAGTCACACTCGTCCACATTCAGACACACTGGCCCACACTCAGTCACACTCGCCAACACTCAGGCACACTCGCCCACACTCAGCCACACTCAGTCACACTCGCCCACACTCAGCCACACTCGCCCACACTCTCCCACACTCAGCCACACTCGTCTACACTCAGTCACACTCGCCCACACTCAGCCACACTCGCCCACACTCAGCCACACTCTTCCACACTCGCACACACTCGCACACACTCGCAAACACTCAGACACACTGGTCAACACTCAGACACACTCAGTCACACTTGACCACACTCAGACACACTCGCCCACACTCAGACACACTCATCCACACTCAGACACACTGGCCCACACTCAGTCACATTCGTCCACACTCAGACACACTCAATCACACTCGCCCACACTCAGCCACACTCAGCGACACTCGCCCACACTCAGTCACGCTCTCCCACACTCAGTCACGCTCGCCCACACTCAGCCACACTCGCCCACACTCAGTCACACTTAGTCACACTCAGCCACACTCGCCCACACTCAGACACACTCAGTCACACTCGTCCACACTCAGGCACACTGGCCCACACTCAGTCACACTCAGCCACACTCTGCCACACTCGCCCACGCTCAGGCACACTCGCCCACACTCAGTCACACTCACCCACACTCAGTCACACTCTCCCACACTCAGTCACGCTCGTCCACACTAAGCCACGCTCGCCCACACTCAGTCACGCTCTCCCACACTCAGTCACGGTCGTCCACACTCAGCCACACTCGCCAACACTCAGACACACTCAGTCACACTTGCCCACACTCAGACACACTCAGTCACACTCATCCACACTCAGCCACACTGGCCCACACTCAGCCACACTCGCCCACACTCTTCCACACTCGCACACACTCAGCCACACTCTCCCACACTCAGACACACTCAGTCACACTCGCCCACAGTCAGAGACACTCAGACACACTCGCCCACACTCAGCCACACTCAGTCACACTCATCCACACTCAGCCACACTCAGACACACTCAGTCACACTCGTCCACACTCAGTCACACTCGTCCACACTCAGACACACTGGCCCACACTCAGTCACACTCGCCAACACTTAGGCACACTCGCCCACACTCAGTCACACTCTCCCACACTCAGACACACTCAGTCACACTCGTCCACACTCAGACACACTGGCCCACACTCAGTCACACTCGCCAACACTCAGGCACACTCGCCCACACTCAGCCACACTCAGTCACACTCGCCCACAATCAGCCACACTCGCCCACACTCGCCCACACTCAGCCACACTCGTCTACACTCAGCCACACTCTTCCACACTCTACCACACTCGCACACACTCGCAAACACTCAGACACACTGGTCAACACTCAGACACACTCAGTCACACTTGACCACACTCAGACACACTCGCCCACACTCAGACACACTCATCCACACTCAGACACACTGGCCCACACTCAGTCACATTCGTCCACACTCAGACACACTCAGTCACACTCGCCCACACTCAGCCACACTCAGCGACACTCGCCCACACTCAGTCACGCTCTCCCACACTCAGTCACGCTCGCCCACACTCAGCCACACTCGCCCACACTCAGTCACACTTAGTCACACTCAGCCACACTCGCCCACACTCAGACACACTCAGTCACACTCGTCCACACTCAGGCACACTCGCCCACTCTCAGCCACACTCGCCCACACTCAGTCACACCCACACTCAGCCACACTCAGCCACACTCGCCCACACTCAGGCACACTCACCCACACTCAGCCACACTCGCCCACATTCACTCACACTCGCCCACACTCAGCCACACTCGCCCACACTCAGACACACTCGCCCACACTCAGCCACACTCTTCCACACTCTGCCACACTCGCACACACTCGCACACACTCAGACACACTGGTCAACACTCAGACACACTCAGTCACCCTTGCCCACACTCAGACACACTCGCGCACACTCAGACACACTCATCCACACTCAGACACACTGATCCACACTCAGTCACATTCGTCCACACTCAGACACACTCAGTCACAC